CATGATGTACTGCATACACATCCTACCAATGAAACACAAGTTGATATTGTGGGATGTTAACAATGCCACTTCCTTTCAGTCATTTATTTTTCAATCAACTGAATAACCTAACTGCTGGTGAAGAAGATAATTCCAGCCATAACAAATAGGAGATTGACATAGGCATCTCAACCTATTATCAAAGCAGACTGACAGCTCCTTCACTGGCATTATCTCATCTGACTCCTCACAAACAGCCAGTATTCCTCATCATCAACTAAGATCAAATGACACAGTGCTCTTATCATCAGTCAACCTGCTCATCCACCTCTCATTCTTGGAGTAACCAGTTCTTTATTGGTTCATCAGTGATTTACAATTAAGCTTGTCAATGTATTCATTGCTCATGTGATTGTTTGTCACCCATGATTCACTTCATTGAGTTCTCAACAGAAAAGATACATACCAGTCCATCCAGAACTGAGTTGTTTTCTTGCCACAGGTATGTACCATAATCATTCCCAGTAACCAGGATTGATTTTTGTTTCATTACTGTTCTGTCCTAATGTTTCTATTGATGTACAGCCACTTTACACATTCTCTGTAACCAAAATTTGTGTCAACTGTTGCAGAATACAGCCATTCTACATATTCATGTGGACACTACTGTACATTACACTGGGTAAAAGGCCATATGTTACATCTATTAGTAGCTGTACTTCTTATTCAAATGTTATAATTTTCTTATACTGAGAATGTATTTCCGATAGGTGCTTCCCTCCTCTCACGAGATTAGGTTTTCCCATTTTGTACTGACCTCTATATGTCTCTCATGCATAATAACTCTACCAATAGGAGAGCACTACTATCACATGATGTATGTGACTTCCTCTATATGCCACTAGAGGAAGTCACATTTGAGTTTGGCAGATAACAGAAGTACCTATTGGAAATACATTGTCAGTATAGGAAAGTTATAACTTCTGATATGGTACTTCCCTCTTCTCAAAAGATTAATTAGAATCCCACATTGAAAAGGAGGAGGGACTGGTGTGAGGGAAGAACAGACATACCCCCAAAAAGCATCCAAAGGATACTTCTGTAGATGAGAGAAACAGATCAAATGATCTGAAGAGGGGCACTGCACCACTTCTGAACTAGGTATCTTCTTGCCATTAACAGTCAGGAACAAACATGGCAGAAAAGAAAGGGAGCACGTCTGAATGGGAGACGATAAGTCAGGAAAGTGATCCCAACTGGATGCGTCACGTGATAGTAGTGTTCTCCTATTGGTGGAGAGATGATGCATGATGATTTGCATGAGAGACATATTGAAGGCTTGTGGCATGCATCATAAAAAAGTTTGCATATAGAGGGCAGCACAAAACATCAGGATTTTACGAGATTATTCATTGGTTTCCTTATGACTCACACGAGCAGTCTTGTAACATCATTGTCCAATGTGAAATCATACCTTCCAAATTTTTGAAGTGTGTTTGTCATTTCAATGATGCATGGTCCTCTTAAATGTTAAACTCTCTACAAGTAGTGGAGGTAATAGCAGGTAAATACACACAGTACCATGTAATCTAAAGTAAAGTTTAGATATAAAATAAAATAACAGAAACTTTTACAGTAGCCAGGTTCTTATTTTAGTAATTATGATGTTTCAACACATAGTGCTGAGTGATCATCAGGTAAAGTTACTTATATTTTGAATTAATTATTCAGTTCAGTAGGTTCCTCACTAAACATAAAAGTTTAGATCTAAAATTACAGAAGAAGAATTTTATAGGAAACAAATTAGACACTCTCAAGTGTCTTCTTCAGTCCAACTTTTGTTTATGAAATAAACACCCATAGATTATACTGGATATTACAATTTGTTTCAAGGCATCAGATGTCAGAAATGGGCTCAATATAAAGTGTCTTCAGAGGTGTTAAAATTTGTCAATCCTTGGATTAGCAAGCTTTCCACAGTTATTCGTTTGACATAATTTCTAGCATTATTAAATTCTTTTGTCTGATTTCCAGTTGACTTGATGATCAAGATTCTTGGAGTGCAACAAGTATTATGTAGAATAAGGGAGGCAAAATATTACTCTATTTGGTTTGATTGCACACCAGATGGGTCCCACAAAGAACAAGTGAGTGAAATCATTTGATATGTTAGAATAAAAAATGGCCAGTGCTCAATTGAAGAAAGTTCTGTCCATTTTATTAGAAGTCATGAAAAAGCAGGTCATAGTCTTGCCACAGAAAAATTTAAAAATGATGATTTGCAAGTAAAATATTGGAGAGGACAAGGCTAGGACAATGGCAGGCATTTACCATGGAGTGCAAGTATATATAAACCAAATTAATGAATTAACTAGATTTGTTCCATGTGCAGACCATACGCTTAATCATGTGAAGGTACATGCCATTAAAGTGTCACCAATCATGGTTACATTCTTTGGTATGCTTCAAAGGATTTTCACATACTTTTTTGTGATCAACATTAAAATGGGAAAAAACTAGTCTTGGTGGTGACTATTTCATTGAAAAGACACTGTGCAACTCAATAGTCTGCAAAGAGACAAGCAGTGACCCCCACTTTATCAACAAATTGGAGTTGTTGATTGGGTTTGAAATGTTGAATGATCCTAGTCTGAATGCTGAAAAACTATCAGGTGCCTAAAACCTTCTCAAGCAAATAGATCTTAAGTTTGTCTGGCTGTTGGATATGTGGTGTAATAAATTTACATGTACTGATAGAATCAACATTAGTTTGCAAACTAAATATTTGTCAGTCAATGTTGTTTCAAAAGTGCTGAAAGGTCTGATGCACCTATTACAAAAATGCACAACAAAGTAGTTGGATGATTACCAAAATTTCAAAGAAGACATCAAAGCAACTTGACATCAAACTAGGCTTCACTGAGAAGAGGAAGCGAAAGGTGAAGCATATGACCTCAGAAATGGTTAAAGATGAAGTGCATCTGTTGACAACTGAGAAGGAATTTGAAAGAGAATACAACACTGTGTTTGACAGTATTATAACACAAATTCAATGGCTCTTTCAAAAAAATGTTAAAACCGTCACCTGAAGTTGATTTTATCACTGTAATTACTTGTCAACTATGCCTGTAGAACACCTCAAGAAATGTGCAGCAGATATTTTGTTAAAATACTGTACAGATTTTGAAGCTATTGAATTTTCCTCAGAAGTAGAAAGTTTCAAATGCCAAGTGTATGTGTTGTTGTCAAGTTTAGGTACAGCTTCTCTGATAAACCTGTTACAATTAATTCATTCTTATTCCCATCAAGACATCTATCCCAACATCAATATTGCAGTGAAAGTTACTTCATGAGAATGTAGTTTTAGTAAATTAAAAATACTAAAAATTTATCTTCTATCAGCTATGGGACAAGAATGCTTATTTCAATTTATGGATAATATCTATTAACTTTGAACTAGCAAATTCTTTAAACTATGACAATGTAATTTGTAAATTTGCATCACTGAAGATAAGAAGATTGCAAATCTTGGAGATTTTAAAGAGGTATAATATATATATGTGTGTGTGTGTGTTCATGCAATGTATAAATAAATTTTTTTAATTATACTTTGTAATAATCATAATAGTTTATATAATGTATTGTAAATATTTAGAATAATAAGATTTTTTTTGGGTGCCACATTTATACGTCACACAGAGCATCATCAAACACTGGTATGCCCTTTTTTTTGGGTGCCACATTTATACGTCACACAGAGCAACGTCAAACACTGGTATGCCCTTTTTTTTGGGTGCCACATTTATACGTCACACAGAGCATCGTCAAACATTGGTATGCCCTGTTTAAATCATTTCTCTCCTTTGGCCAAATAGAAAATGTCATCTACATATCAGAACCAAGGGATTTCCTTTGTATTCAAATCCACTGTAGGAAGTAATTAGTTTTCAAAATTGTCCAAAAACATGTTACATAGAATTGGGTAATAAGTTGTGTGTGTATATGTGTGTTTCACAAACAAAAGTTGGACTGAACAGGACACATGAAAGTGTCAAATCTTGTTTCCGTAAATCTAAACTTTTATTTTAATGAGGGGAAATATTTGGCAGATACTACAAATGTAAGTTGTTCCTTCTCTGTCATAAATTATAGGCACTCAGGAGCAATTAACATGTGTCTTTCATACAGAATTAATCATTCTATATTGTCCTCTGTTTGTTACAAAACTGTGCCAATTCCACTATTATTGGCAGCAGTGTCCAAGATGAATGAACAATCTTAACATTGGTGTTTTGACTAAAGTGAGCTTCAAGGACTTGTATGCATCTTCACATTCCAATACCCACACAAAGAACACATTAGACTTAGTGCAGACACTGGTCATGAGAAATTGGTCACAAATCATTGATAATATGATGCAAAACTTGGGAATTTCTCGTTTGTTAGAAGGCAATCTTTGCAGGATCTTAAAGAGCCTAAACACGATATAAAGAAATTGAAAAAGTAATCTTTATTCGAAGCAATGTAAGAGATGAGTAGACAGAACAAAAAGCACCGCCATGTATTTGGCCATAGATCAGCTTAGACTGTGTTGAAGACAAAAGATGGACTGTTTCAGACAGGAAACATGCCTTATATATACAGTTCTATAATGCAGACCCTTTTAGTATGCTTGTTTTACTCCCACGTCACTGATGATAATTCCACTTTTTGACAGCCATATCTTCTATCTGACTACCAATCGTTTGCATTTTGTTATTTCTACTATAAAGAAGTATTTACTATTTTTAAGTTCTCAAAATAACAAGAATTAAAATTTGGCAAACTACATAAAACTTTCACTTTTCATTAACAAAAGAGCATCAAGTGAATAACATCAACAATTAATATTTAATATTTTAGGCCTTTAATGTAAAAAATATGCAGTATGTAAAGAAAAACTTGTAAAACATATTACTTGGATGGATTTGATGATTTTATAATAATATACTAGCTATGATTAATTTGAACAAACAATTAGCTATTTGTGACACTCATTAATTTCCTTTATTAACAGAAAAATTCAAACATACAAAAGTATTCCTTATATACAGGATATAATTAAATACAATGTTTATACATGTCCTTTGTACCGATGAAATTTGTGATAATCATCATGCAACACTTTAAATATCTCCTTTGCTCCTGATGATAAAGTAGCTTGAAGCATGGACAAACTGTGTGAACTACACACATCCAGAACTCGAAAAATGCCTAATACAATGGATTTCTACAAGTATAAAAAAGCATAAACTAAAATAACAACATTATTTAATAGATTACACAACTATGGTGAAATGAAAAGCATAGCACTGTTATTAAAAATGTTGTATTTATGTATACTTATTTGTTATCTGTTATTATAATAAGTTTTAATAAAAGTTTTTCAAAGTTATCTTGAAGAAAGGTGTAAAGTTACTTGTTCCACTATACATATGACACATAATAATCTGAAACTATGTAATAAAGTAAGACAAATTATTAAACAACAGTACCATAAAGAAACATATATGTACTTGACAGTTTGGAAATTGCTTATAATAAGTACTGGATGAAAGAATATTTTAGTTGAAAAATAAAAACAAAACTGGTGTTCATTATTAGATATCATACAAACACAAACAGTGCCTGAATAGAATGAAAAATAGTTTAGTTCTAAACTTCTAGTTCAACAGTTAATAGAAATTAAACTTACACCTAATTATAAATTATGTCACCATAAAAATGCTTCTTTATATGAGCATTTTTACAACATAATAAGACAAATCCATATGGTTGCATACTAAATAAAAAAATGGGATGAGTGTTAAACATCAAGACAGAAATGTACATGGATGTACTTTTACAAATGGAAGTAGCTTTTGTCATAAACAAACTACAATTGAAACACAAACATAAGAGACAAGAAAAACGAACATTTTGAGGAAATCCAAATACTCCTATTCCTTGAGTCAATTAACTGGTCTTACCTTTAAAACTGGATGAATTGTAACCTTCTGAGCTTCAGAGACATAATCAGCAACAAGATAGGGGGCCAATTTAGACAGTTCCATTTTCTGAGCTGACAAAAGTGTGAGAAGTCTAAGTAATAAAACAGAATATTTCAATTAATAAACATTAATTAGATATGTCTTTTCTTATCAATTAGTTTACCACAACATATATACAATAATAAATATAGTACTTAAGTTTTATCATATGTGCAACATTAAAATTTTTATCAATTAAAAACTTTGAAAGAGAAGTCTTGCCATTCCCCTTGATGAAGAAAGTCACTGAGGATAGTTTATAATATTGTTACTTCCTGTCAATCTTATGGTTAACTTTATCAACTAGTATATTCTTATATCTGAAACTACATTAATCAGATAATTTGAGCTACTAATCCTTCATTTAAAATATCTTAATCTTGTGACATTTAAAACAAAAACAGGAACTTATATTAATTATAAACAAGATTACGACACTTATGATATACAACACTGTTTATTGACAAAAAGGGGACATGGATAAACGTTTCAGAATTCTATCAGATTCCACCCTCAGTATCTAAAGCAGAATAAAATGAATTTACATCAGTCTTTATACATTTTCAAAGTACAGTTGCTAAATATAACGATAATTAAACAAATAAAACACTAAACAGTAATCATGGGGAGAAACTTACAGCAAGAAAACACAACGGAAAAAAAAAACTCACAAATCCAATTAAGATACCAATTGTACCTAAATTTACTATATACTCGTGTCTTCCCTATACTGGTAAACAAAGCTTAAATTGAAAAAAACAACTTAAACGCATACTTGGTCGTTACTACCCTCAAGTTGATTTAAGATTATTTTTTAAATCCACATCACGCATAAAAAATTTCTTCCCTACTAAAGATCTCCTCCCCATTCCTTATTGTTCTTGGCTTGCCTATCTTTACACGTGTGGAGACTGTAAGGCCTCCTATATTGGCAAAACCAAACGCCATTTAAAAGTCAGAGCCTATGAACATATGGGAATTTCCATTAAAACGCAAAAAAAATTGAATAACCCCTGTGTTTCCTCTATACGCCAACACAGTGAAGAAACAGGACATCAACCTATACTATCAAATTTCTCTATCCTCTGCAAGTCTAACACTGATCTGGAATTATTGATCAAAGAAACCCTCCACATCAAGCAGCACTCTCCAACACTGAACAACATGCAGTCTTCATTTAAATTATACATTTTTTAATATGTTCGTATTACTGATTTTTCGTTTTTTTTTCTTTTCGTTGTTGTTCTTTTCGTTGTT